GGCTCATGGACCGAGACATGGCTCTCCGGCGAGCGCGGCGGCGTCGGCGGTGATCGGAATCGCGGCGTCCGCTGCGCGAATTCGCCTCGGAGACGAGCTGGGCCTCCGGCGTTGGAACAGAACAGGGGATTTTTGGGCGGGTGGGCGGGCGCTTATCGTGCTGGCGCGAATCTTAAAGCGCTTCTTCTCCGTGTTGCGCTCCCGTTTGGTCTTCGAACCACATCCGGAATTAACTCGTTTCTCTGGGTTATTGTACTTCTCCGTTTTACATGTGCCGAATTCAGGGAAAGGAGGGAAAAAAAACTTAGTGATGCCTAGGAAGGTAGAATAAAGGTGATCATGTGTGACCCTCACGCGCATATAAGGCTGCAAAAAGCGAGGCTAATTTGTCGTTTGAGATCGAATTTGGGTTCGACTTGAGATCAGGTCGAAAAAAGAGTTGAATATGAGCATTTTATGTACCTTGATCCAGAAACGAGCTGATCTTTAGTTAACACTGGCACGCTCGATTTTAACTTGAAGCTTGATATAAATGTAATTATATTAAATAATCATGATACATATTAACAGAAAATATGATCATTGTGTGATTTTCTCTCTTTTATCTACTAGTGAGCATGGATGCTTACTTAAGCATGAAGAAAATTTAGGGCATGCTACGTGGTCAGCCGTGTGTTCAATATCATGTTATATTTGACAAAAGTTTAAGTGATTTTCTTCTTTTGCTAAATCATCCACAAATTCTTGCTATTAAGTATTAGTGTATTAAATACTTGTCTCCAATTGGGGGAGAATAAGTCAAACTACGTTGAAATAGTTTATATTATAATTGTTTTGATTGGATGATATTTATAGTGGTTTCTTTTCTCGTGTTGTGGCCTATCTTGTTTAAAAATTTGACTTATATTATTAAAAGAATCTTTTTATTTAGCTCGGAACTAGCTCAAGATCGTTATAAGCAAAGCATAAGTGATTTTCTACAACTCGACCTTGAGATTCACTTCATTTGAGCTTGCTCAAATTTTAGTATACGTTAAGCTGGGCCTAGTTCAACTCACTCAAACTCAACATGTTTGTAGCCTTACACAATTTAGGGTGTGTTCGGTTGCCTGCATGTTTCCTATTTGATCCACTTTTCATTGTTTGATAGTTTGCATAGGGCATCCTCAACTATATTGAGTTTAGCCCAAAAAACCCATGTTGAAATGTCCTTATATATATTTACGTATCCTATATACCTAAGAGAGTAATCTCCACTAACTTATTTATCTCAACATGCAAGAATGTCACATCATCTTACAATTATAGATGGGATAAGGCCCACCTTAACATGCAACTATTGTTGGAAATATGCCCTAGAGGCAATAATAAAAGCATTATTATTATATTTCTTTGTTCATGATAATTGTCTTTATTCATGCTATAATTGTGTTATCCGGAAATCGTAATACATGTGTGAATAACAGACACCAACATGTCCCTAGTAAGCCTCTAGTTGACTAGCTCGTTGATCAATAGATAGTCATGGTTTCCTGGCTATGGACATTGGATGTCATTGATAACGGGATCACATCATTAGGATAATGATGTGATGGACAAGACCCAATCCTAAACATAGCACAAGATCGTATAGTTCGTTTGCTAGAGTTTTTGCAATGTCAAAGTATCTCTTCCTTCGACCATGAGATCGTATAACTCCTGGATGCCGTAGGAGTGCTTTGGGTGTATCAAACGTCACAACGTAACTGGGTGACTATAAAGGTGCACTACAGGTATCTCCGAAAGTATCTGTTGTTTTATATGGATCGAGACTGGGATTTGTCACTCCGTATGACGGAGAGATATCACTGGGCCCACTCAGTAATGCATCATCATAATGAGCTCAAAGTGACCAAGTGTTTGGTCACGGGATCATGCATTACGGTACGAGTAAAGTGACTTGCCGGTAACAAGATTGAACGAGGTATTGGGATACCGACGATCGAATCTCGGGCAAGTAACATATCGATTGACAAAGGGAATTGCATACGGGGTTGATTAAATCCTCGACATCGTGGTTCATCCGATGAGATCATCGTGGAGCGTGTGGGAGCCAACATGGGTATCCAGATCCCGCTGTTGGTTATTGACCGGAGAGCGATCTCGGTCATGTCTACATGTCTCCCGAACCCGTAGGGTCTACACACTTAAGGTTCAGTTACGCTAGGGTTGTAGGGATATGTATATGCAGTAACCCGAATGTTGTTCGGAGTCCCGGGTGAGATCCCGGACGTCACGAGGAGTTCCGGAATGGTCCGGAGGTAAAGATTTATATATGGAAAGTCCTGTTTCGGGCATCGGGACAAGTTTCGGGGTTATCGGTATTGTACCGGGACCACCGGAGGGGTCCCGGGGGGCCACCGGGTGGGGCCACCCATCCCCGGGGGCCACATGGGCTGTAGGGGGTGCGCCTTGGCCTGCTTGGGCCAAGGGCACCAGCCCCACTAGGCCCATGCGCCTAGGGTTTCCAAGGGGGAGGAGTCCTACTAGTGGAAGGCACCTCCTAGGTGCCTTGGGGGGGAGGGAAACCCCCCTTGGCCGCCGCACCCCCTAGGAGATTGGATCTCCTAGGGCCGGCCACCCCCCCTTGGCACCCCTATATATAGTGGGGGAGAGGAGGGACTTCAGACCTTGAGTCCTTGGCCTTTGGTTGCCTCCTTCTCCCTCCTCTACACCTCCTCCACCTCCTTATTGCTTAGCGAAGCTCTGCCGGAGTACTGCAGCTCCATCAACACCACGCCGTCGTGCTGCTGCTGGTGCCATCTCCCTCAACCTCTCCTCCCCTCCTTGCTGGATCAAGAAGGAGGAGACGTGGCTGTTTCCGTACGTGTGTTGAACGCGGAGGTGCCGTCCGTTCGGTGCTAGGATCTCCGGTGATTCGAATCACGTCGTGTTCGACTACATCATCCCCGTTCTTTGAACGCTTCCGCTCGCGATCTACAAGGTATGTAGATGCATCTATTCACTCGTTGCTAGATGAACTCCTAGATGATCTTGGTGAAACGAGTAGGAAAATTTTTGTTTTCTGCAACGTTCCCCAACAACTATGCATGGGAAAAAGATCCACCACCACATGCGACCATGCACGAGAAAATATTTTTCATTCTATTACTCTACTTATATTCAATAAAAATTTACCAATGTACATAATCAAATATAATAAGTGTTATGTATTTTTAATTTTGGTTCATGTGCTATTTATCTAAATATTTATATCCCACACAATACAATCTAATTAAAATATTTTGCAACCAATTCCCGTAGCAATGCGTGTGGTATCATCTAGTATAATAAAATATGAACCCAATTTTATTTATAACGATTCACAAAAAAATGTTGTCTATTTGTAATTGTCATAGTATCCTCACCACCTTAAAAGAAGGTAACCACATCTGGATAAGATACATCCTACCAACACAGTCTTAGTTTAAAGCATGTCTAATCACAATGCAAGCGACCAAACAAATGTCTCAACTCAGCTTGTCTCAAAGCATACACCGCTACTAAATAATAACAGTTGCATGTACTCAACATGTCTACACTTAGTATGTCTAGGAGAACATATATACTAGGTTGATAATGCTACCAAACACATCGGTGGTTTCGGAATCTTGATGTACTTTTTTGTGTGTTTGAGATGCTTTGTACTTCCGGTGAATTGATAACTCCGATCTTTTTCATTAAAAAAAACACATCATCTATTTTTTTTCACATGTACCAAACACATCCTTTGCTATTGTGCTGTGCATGCATGAGTCGTTGGTGAGTAATGCTACACCTACATGATTCTAGTTACGTAATTAACGTAAATATGTAACGTGTGAGTTGTTGATTGGAGATTGCGGGAGAGAGGGGCCCGCCCCTGTGAAAGGGGCAGAGAGTTTAAGAAAAACATTGTCATGCGGGCCATGGCATCCCTTCGCGCTGTTGGTGGTGGTGGCGGGACGTCGCTGCAAGCGTCGTCGTGTGGCCGTCGCGACGGGGGATGACTTTTACGGTGCTAATGCTTAATAATGAAAGAAAAGATACACCAGTCATTAAACAAGTACTTGCACATTTACATCGAATGGAACTTGATTACTTTCTTTCTAAAATGTGATAAACACAAATTTAATCTAGGCTTTCTTCTTCTGAGCTGAAGATGCAACCGATGTTGCAGCAGCTAACGGCGCTGACCATGAGCAGAGACCACGCAAAACTGCAATTACAGCAACCACGATGAACGGAACATACAGCTGAAGCAGCCTCAGCGTTGCTTTTCCTGAGCCCAACATGTCGCCGAGTATGGCGGACTGAAACAATTGCGGTCACCATTAGAAACGAATCGAGAAAGATCTTCCGCGAGAGTGTGAATTGTAAAAAATATCGACATTGAAGGCTAGGTTTGCAGAAACTACAAGTCTACAATTTTGTGCCCAAAAACACTAACTTTCAGGCTAATTTTTTTGTAGAAAACACGAGTTGCTCAGTTCGGTCGTTTTAAGTGAGATTATGACAGGTAGGCCCGCTTTTGTCGATGTGGCGGCACTGTTCATCCGTCTGAGCCGTTAGACGGCGTCAGACGCCGTGCCCGGGCCTGCTCGAGCCGGTACCCTCTTCTACGAATCGTTACAGGCCCACCCCCAACCCTCATTCTCTCGCGCCCTCTGCTCCCACTCGTTCGCCGCCGTCGAACCCTGTCACATCTCCGACCGCCACCGCCGCCGCGTCGCCATGGTGCCCTAGAGTGGCGGCGGCGGCGGCGGTCAGAGAAACCTACAAAATTATAGACTTGTGGTTTCTGTAAATCTAGCCTTCAATGTCGATGTTTTTTGTAATTCACTCTCCGCGAGAAGACAAGAGGATAAAGTCATTTGCTCAAGTCGAGTGTCGGCAGAACCAACAACTGGCGGTGAAATTTGCTCAAGGAATTATCGAATCACATTATCAATCATTTCACTAAAAAAACTCTCCTCCACAAACTTCCACCACCAAGGCAGCGCAGCAATCAAGATTTTTCTTGTATGAAATGCTTGTCGCTTGGTCAACGGAGAAAGAAGCTATCACTTCGCCTGTATGGATCTTGAAGCAAAGCAAGAAGAAAGGGCAAACGCAGGACCAAGACGGGTACGTACCAAGTAGGTGAGCATGTAGACCCCCGCCATGAGCGAGGTGGTGGCCGACCAGCGGCGGCGCGCGAGGATGCCGTAGAGGTTGGCGACGCAGACGGGCCACAGCAAGGCCAGGTCGAGCCAGACGAGGCCGAGGAAGAAAGGCGGCGGGTAGGCGACGAGGTAGTGCCCGAACGCGACGGCGAACCACCGGTGGATGTCCACGAGCGGCGCCGGGTAGAGGTCGCGCGGGAGCACGACCTGAGAGTCGAACAGCGGGGCCGCCACCGCCATGATCAGCGAGAAGAGCGCCACCACGACGTCCGCCGTCGCCGAGACGGCGCCCATTGGTTTGTTGTGGTGCGGCCGGAGGGAGCGGAGCGGAGCTGTGGAGGACCGCGCTCTGTTCCTGTTTTTCTACAGAGGAGCTGCTCTGTATCTTGTGGTGTAGGAGTGTGATGACAGGAAGAAACTGTGTCTGCGAGGTGGAGGTTGACGTTGAGATTGCGATAGAGAGGGATGCGGAGTGGAAGCGACTGTAGAGAGGAGATTTTCTTTCCACGCTGTTTTGCTCCTACGATCGGCTCAACCGGGCTTTCCTTCATGAGATTCGAAAGGGGTTCGAAGCGGGGGCCAGACTGCCATTTTGATCAACGACGATGTTGGTCACTTCTTTCAAAGAAAAGAGGGTTGCTATAAGGTGACCCGTTGTCCCCTCTTTGCCATTTTAACTTTGCCATTGATGCTCTTTCGACCATGTTTGACAAAGCTATGTTGGAATATTAGACAAGTTCATGATTAATTTCAGTAAATAATTCATGACTAAAACAAAGACTAGAATGCAACAATCTGGCAAACTAGATGAACAACTAAACATGCACATCAGCATCACACATTAAGTAGCAAGTTTCGGGGAGAGACATGAACAGAACACGTAGGACGTACTATTTGTTAGTTGCTGAAGAAGCAACGGTGATGATGACGATGTTGGTGACGATTTGTTGTTGACGGCGATGAAGACGTCAATGAGTAGCACCGCTCGACTTGAACAGAAGACGACCCATGATGATGAACTTGAGCAGTCGCGCAGAGCGCTTCCCAAAAACCTAATTCGTCCTCTCCCTGTGCAGGATCGAAAGGACGAACGGTTTCAGAGACCCGCTCTCCCGCACGCCGATGCACACCAGCGTTAGGGATGAAGTAGACTACGATGGCAGCACAAGTTTTGAGATGAAGTAAAACACTAGGTGTTTTCGATGTGTCTTTGGCCGCAACCAGTAGCAGTATATATATTAGGACCAGAGGCGGTACTGCGTCGTGATCACAATCTCAATCCGACTTGGTTTCTAAGTCGTATACTTACCGGACAAGAAAAATCAACTTGTCTATCAAGAGATAAAAATAAAATAACAAAAGGAAGTTGCGTCCCTGCAAGGCAACAAACCGAATTTTGAATGCAGACATTTTTAAAAAAATTCAAACTTTTATTGAAAAAATAGTAACACATTTGAATTTAAAAAATTCAGAAAAAATTCAGAAAATAAGTTTTTTTTAAGTTGATAACTGGCCGGACGTGTCACATTTGCATACGGTGTCATAATTCTTGCATTGTATGTTTCGGTTCATACTGGTGCCCGCACCACAACTTTCCCTGTATGTCTGAAGTTGAGCAAAATAGAAATTTTAATCATCACAAATGAGTGAAATAACTCAAGGAAAGGATGTGATTCCCTGTACCACCTCATATTGTTCATCAGATATGAGGCCCATCCTATGGGCATATGGGACTCTGGCTGGCAAATCGAACTTGTGATCCGTTAATGGGTTGCCTATGATGTAACCCTGAAGCAATATATATGTTGAAACATTAGCAGCTACTTAGAAGGCAACACTAAGACAACCTGTGTTAATTGTTCCAAGAGTAAAGAAAGGTTGTGTGATGATACGTCTCCAACGTATCTATAATTTATGAAGTATTCATGCCATGTTTACAATATTTTTATATGATTTTGATATGATTTGATTAGAACTAATCTGGACTGACGCTGTTTTCAGCAGAACTACCGTGGTGTTATTTTTGTGCAGTTGTTGGAACCCGAACTTTAATTGGCTTTGCATGTCAGCATGTGGTACTATGTTCGGTGGGAGGAGGACCGAGTGTCCATGAACTCTAGGTGCAACCAATGGGAGATGGCCGCTCATTGTTGTTCTCAGCCTTGTGATAGCTTTTGTTCCTTTTATTCTCCCTTTTGTGATGTTGGATTTTTCAAAACTATGCAATAATAGAAGGTTGCATGCATCAATCGATGCATCGGCTGGATCATCACACTTGTATTGCCTTGACGATGATGAACATGCAAATGTTATATGTACCATGTCACGCTATACATTGACAAACTTAACAGTAGGAGGTTACAGCCGATAGAATAGTATTCCCGAATCGAAAATCCTTGTGTGCGTAGAGAAAGCACATGTGATGCGCGCGAGAAGTCGAGTTAGAGAGGACGGCCGGAGAGCCACCTATCGACCATGGCCAAGCATTCCTTGGGCCTGTACTCTGGAGCAGTGTGACCACCACCCTGATTAAACAAAGAAACACTTGCTTGGCATGACAAACAAATAGAGTAGCAAATTAACAAATAGTGTCAATACATCAAACTAGCAGTCCCTTCACGTACCTTGATTGTCGCAAAAGTGAGGTTGTTAGCGTACAACGTTGTAAACCTGCACACACATAAAATGCAGCTCAATCAACGGCGTCAAAAATCAAGAATGTTAAAGTTTCCCCAAGCTGATGGGGAAAACAACTGGATTTCACTGGTAGTGGCTCAAACGTACTCACCCAGCAACTTGGCCGGTGGCATACCATGGCCTCCATTCATCGACGACGGCGAAGCCGAGAAAGCGGATCCACGCCTGGGTGCCGATGAAAGGCACGGTCATGTCGTGGTCGCCGCTATAGATTAGGCTCCGGTAGCCTTTGCTGGTCAGGCTCCGGTGATACTCCACGCTGCTCCTGATGTCGGTGGTGTATGGCGTGCCATGGTTGCACCTCAGCCACACAGGAACCGTTCCCTTGTGAACACCCAGAGCCTTTCTCACTGCCATGTTGTTTGCCCAGATGCCAGACATGCTATATCCTTTCTCCTGCATGCAGAAAATATAGATATGTTCATTAAAATTAGCAAAGAGCACAATCTTAAGGAATTTAAGGTAGGTTTCTTTGTCACTAACTCTGCACTCCGAAGAAATATCTGACAAGCCAAGCTCCGCGCTACCAAAGTCAAGCAACGTCCTGCCGCTATCTGAATTTCCATTGTATTCGGCAGAACATTCGGGTTCTAGGATGTGATGTATGTTTATGCCCTTCAAACACTACACTTGGTAGGAAAAGCATCATCAATAATTCAGACAAAAGGGCTTCCTTCATTTCCCTACATTTCCTAGTTATCGTACCTTATCTATTGCATCATGGCAATTTTTGCATTGTATGTTTCGGTTCATACCGGTGTCCACACCGCAACTTTCCCTGTATATCTGAAGTTGAGCAAACAGACATTTTAATCATCACAAATAAGTGAAATAACGCAACTCAATACTATGAGAAAGAAAGGATGTGATTCCCTCTACCACCTCATATTGTTCGTCAGATATGAGACCCATCCTATGGGCATATGGGACTCTGGCTGGCAAATCGAACTTGTGATCCGTTAATGGGTTGCCTATGATGTAACCCTGAAGCAATACACATGTTGAAACATTAGCCGCTACTTAGAAAGCAACACAAAGACATCATGTGTTAATTGTTCCAAAAGTAAAGAAAGGTTGTCTGACCTTCAGATTAAGAAGTGGCTTGTAACCCATTTCTATACCTGGAAAAGAGGCACGGGATAGGTAATTTAAAGCACAACACTGAGGGTTCAACACTAAAGTCAAGGATTATTTGAGTAGAGATATGTTGCACTCCCTATGTATCAAACTGGAAGACGTTTTTTGGGTTTAGATTGAGACTCAAAAACGCCTTACATTTTGATACAGAGGGAGTATTTCATGCCAAAGTTCTCAATTTTGTAGGATGAGCGGAATATTTGTAATAAGGAACAAGAAGGAAATTTCTATGTACCCTTAGCAATTTGAAAGGTTAGCGGTGGCGCAATTAAGCCAGAATACGAATCTCCGGCAATGAAAAGTGGATTCAGTAAGAACTGTGGATGATCCTCATACCACTGCAGATGGAGAAAATAATGATAATAAGAATTCAGAATAATTAGCTAAAAATATGAATTCAAAATATTGTAATTACTGCTAACTGGAGGGGATTTTTCTCCCCTTTCCCTTTTTTTAATAGATGATACGCACACTCGTGCGTGTTCCAGAATTTTTTTTCTTCAAAATATTATGTGCATGTAGCACAGCATGTAAAAGTAATGGGAAATCCGTGAAGATGGGAAGTTTCAGAAGTAGTGGTGCGTAGAATAGTAGTATTATAAGAAACAAACCTAATTATGAGTGATAAGACGGAACATGATAAATACTGTATGTGACTGGACGGACCTTGGTAAGGAAGATGACAATTTGGTCAACGGCTTGGGTGTCGCAGGACTTGTACCCTTGGTCTGTTGCAGAGTATGAAAAGCCAGCTCCAACGGGGGAATCCAGAAAGATTACATTGGCAACCTTTTGGTGAGTGGACAGAAGCATGATTAGAAGATGCGATTATGCTTACATGATGAATTGGTGGCTGGCAGAAGAGGAACATATACTAGCCTTGGTCCAAGAATCCGGTCTGTACACCAGCTCTGGCGGACCACCGGTGTAAGAATCTGCAGGCTGAAAGCTGAGAGGACCTGCAGCAGCAGCAGCAGCAGCAACCAACAAGTAAAATGGTTAAGCATATTAGTCACAACATGATGATGAAAATGGAGAATGGTTAAGCAAATAGTTACCGATCTCGTAGACAAGGCCGGAGAAGGCGGAGCACCCGGGGCCGCCGGTGAGCCAGAGCAAGACGGGGTCCTCCGCGGGGCTCCTCTCCGACTGAACGAAGTAGTAGAAGAGGCGGACGCCATTGCTATCGTCCACTTGCACATACCCTGTCTCCAGGGAGAAGGGAAGAGGCCCATGGAAGCCAGGGAGATGGCTCACCACAGTGGTCTTGTTCTTCTCACTTTGTGCGGTGACGGCGACGATGAGGAGGAGGAGAAAGCCCACTCCCAGTGCCAAGCCATGGCTCATATGTTTCATTCTCTCCTCCTCGCCTCGCCTAGCTAAGCTGTTGGGTAGGAGCAGGACGCATCAAACGCGGCCCAGTTGTAGTTAAAGGATCATTAGTCTCTTTATTAAAAGAAGGAATCTGTCGTTGTCGTTAGGTAGATGGCCCTGCTTTCTCTTTCTCTTCAATTCAATTTCAATACAGTATAATGGAGAAACAGATCTGACTCAACGCCCCTAGAAAACCAGCGCCGCTGTGCTTTGGCTGGACGCAATATGATACTATGATAGTAGCCCGAAATCACCATGAAAGCTGTGTTAGTAGTAGTAGTAGGTTATTTGCTGGTTTTAATTAATAGTCGCACGCATCACACGAGCCACGAGACACCGTTAATTAACACAAGGGAGGTTTGGAGCAAGTGAGCCAGCTCTTTGTCCTATACCGGCTCTTCTGTTAGTGCTATTTTTCCGACAAAGGATGATTTTATTAACTCGAAATGTAGCATGGAGCGGATACAAAACATAAAGAGTGACACTTGCTTCAGAATAGCTAAGATGCACACAGCCATCAAACGAGCCATACTGTACAAATTCATCGTATCTGCAGTGCATCTCTTCTGGGTTTTTTACTGTATATATGAAAGTGCATCAGGTATTTCTGTTAACTCATTTGAAGAGAAAAATATATGTTTTGATAGCACATAGGAATTTTGGGGGGCCTGTACAATTCACCAAGCTTCTGTGTGCAAGAATTGAAGAAGGTATAAGGACCCATTTTGAAGTTGCTCGCAAGTGACCAGTATGTATATATGATGCGTGAATGCCATAATCGGATCTTCATATTGACAAGATTGACACTTTGCACAGTGTAGAGATCACTACCGAGCCACATATACAAGTGGCCCAACAACTACTACACTAGTTAACATAATAAGTAAGGTCAAAACTCAGCCGAGACATCCATAAAACCCTTAACAATAATAGAAAGTCAAGCAAAACAATTAGGGAGGGGATTACAAACCATCCAGGGACATCATCTTGTACTACTAGCTACCTAGAGCACAATAATAACAGTAAGCAAATTAACAGGCACCTGAAGGGAGCTCTAAATAATAATAATCGTCTCCTAAATTAACCTCCATCATAACCTTAATAAATAAAATTTCTGATTCATACTACTTCCTCCGATGGTGGGATGGCATGGTTTGAAACTAGTGAGAGCAAAGAATCCATGATGGTAACCTTATAGGTCATCTCATCTTAAGCTCCAAGAGGCAGGCACTATGTACCCAAACAAACCACCTACTGTGACAAGTCCATTGCATCCCCGACATCACCCTTTCCTGAGTATTTAACCAAAAACTACCACATTTGCCGGAAACGTGACAGAAAACTACCACTCTACGTTTTTGTGCGAAAAACTACCAATTTTTTCCTAAGCCGTGGCAAAAAACTACCAACTCGCGTAATCGCTCGCTTCGCCCGCGCTAACCCCTATTCTGACCGGTTGGGCCCGCCAATAGTTGCCACGCGGGCTAACTGACGCCCGGCGCGCGCGGACGGCCGTTAACGGCCCGTCCCCTGTCGGAACGACCGCTGTCGGTCGGGTGCGGGTCAAGATCTGACCCTTTCCCCTCTCGCTGCACTCTCTCCGTCCTCTCCCTCTCTCTGAACTAGGTGGCGGCGACGACGACGATGGCGGCGGCGGTTCCGGAGGGGGGCGTCGGCGATATGGGTGGCGGCGGCGGCGGCGACGACGCAGGCGGCGGTGGCACAAGTTTGGACGCTGCGGGCTCAGTCGACAATTGGTTGGGGAGCACCAGCTTCTCGACGCAGGCCGGCTCAGTCATCGCTAATGGGTTGCTGGTATGGAAAATATCATCTGCTAGGTTAGCTGCTTCAATCTGCCAAACAGGTTAGCTGCTCATGAATTGGTTAGCTGCTTCAATCTGGCAAATTAGTAATATGTGTTTGTTAGAGCTTGTTGGACATGTGTAGTAAACTGTATTGCACTTGTAGCTCTGTCATTTTCAATTGAATTCATGAGCACCTATTTCTGCAGTTTTGCTGACAAGAAGTGGGAGATATGGTTTCATTTAGAAGGAAGAAACCCTGTGAAAAGGGTTATATATGAGTCAGATATATCTTTTGTTACTCTACAATCACTCATTGCTAGTGAAGGGTATGGGCAGAGTGATTACATGTACTATGTGAAGGAGGAGGAAATTGGATCTGAAAGAGTAAAGTATTTAGGTAATGAATCTAGTGTTCATGAAATGTTGGAGTTTTTTAATCATGTCAATGTTGTGAACATAAGGGTTGTGAGAGATGTTGAACCTGCAATAAGTACACAGGCTATTCAGAATTACATGAACACTCAAGAGAGTTGCTGTGTGCAAAAGGTTGTGGAGCAATCTGAGTTTCAGAATGAGATAGATGATAGAAAGGCTCAGCTTGAGAGGAGCAGGATTCAAAGAGAGGCAGATTTGAACCACTTTGAAGGAGACACTGAAGTGTCTGAATTTTGTTCTGATGATTCAGTTCATTCAGATGGTAGTGCTGAAGCTGTTCAACAAATGGAAATAGAGTGTGCCTATGAAGAGCAAACACCATTGCAAAGTACTGCTATTGTGAAACATGTGAAGAACCCTGGGCCAACTAGCAGATGTCACAATGAGGTAGAGAAAAAACGTTTTGAAGATTGGTTTCCTGAAGCAGATGAGTTTTGTTTTGCTGGTGATCCAGGCATAAGTGATGAGGAAGAAGAAGATGAAGTTGAACTACCATACATCATGAAGAAGGCAAAGACAAAGAGTAGTAAGAAAAAGATGAAGGAAAGAGTATATTTTGACCCTTCAATTCCCAATTCACATTTACTCTTGTGCAAGAGCTTGTGTTTTGATTCTGTTTACCAGTTCAGAGAAGCATTAAGAGATTTTCATATAAGGACTTTGAGGTCTTTTCACTACCACAGGAACACTCCAACAAGAATTATTGTTTGGTGTTCACAGAGAGAGCATGGATGTGAATTTTACATCTGTGCCTCCAGGATAGCTCATGAAAGAACATTTTGCATTAAGAAGTGTAACATGGAGCACACTTGTCCAGCATCAGCAGAGAACACAAAAGTTACTACTAAGTGGCTTTCCAAAGAAGTTGAGCCATCTCTTAGAGCAGATCCTAGAGCACCTGTGGATTCACTTATTAAAAATAGCAAAGTCAAGTTTTCAGTTGATGTATCAAAGAGTGTGGCCTATAGGGCAAGGAGGAAGGCTATTAAGGGTGTACAGGGTGACCAGAAGGAGCAGTACTATAGACTGAGGGACTACCTACAAGCAGTTCTTGACACAAACCCTGGTAGCAGGTGTGTAGTTACAACATTTGAGGACCCAGAAAACCCTGCCCCAACTCCTAGATTTAAGTACATGTTCTACTGCTTGCATGCATCAAAGCAAGGATTTCTTAATGGTTGCAGGCCCTTTATAGATAAATATATAACTACATTTTGTTCAAAATATCTTGTTGTAATTTTTTGGTAGCTAATTTGGGTATGGATGCAGGGCTTGATGGTTGCTTCATCAAGCTAACCACTGGACAGCAAATTCTTGCAGCCACAGGAAGAGATGGCAACAACAACATCTACCCCATAGCCTTTGGTGTGGTTGATAAGGAATATTCAGAAAGTTGGACATGGTTCTTAACCCAGCTAAGATGTTGCATTGGAAGTGGAAGCAAATTTGGAACCTACACCATTATTTCTGACAGGCAAAAGGTATGCAACCTATCTTAGCCAGTAGTTCACATAAATATAGTTATTACTGGCTTTATTTGTTCTTAAGGCTATAAATGAGGTGTTCCCTGATTCCCCTCAGAGATACTGCCTCAGGCACATCTATGCAAATTTTCAGTCAGCTGGTTTCAGAGGAGCAGAACTAAAAAAGCTAGTAGATAAGGCTAGCTACTCATTCACCAAACATGGCCATGAATTAGCAATGGCAGAGCTTAAAGCAGAGTGTGAGGATGCCTGGAAGTGGCTTTCAAAAATTCCAAAGGAGACTTGGTGTAGATCTTCAATGGATTACAATTGCAAAACTGATCTTGTTGTGAACAACCTGAGTGAGGTTTTCAATAAAATGATCCTTGATGTTAGGGCCAAACCAATTAGAACTATGTTTGAAGGAATAAGGACTAAGCAAATGATCAAAAGGCAGAAGACCAGGGAAAAAAATAGAGAACAGCAGGTGGATGATCGCACCCAACTATTCAGAGAAACTAGAGGAGAATAAGAAGTATGCCAAATTTTGTGAGGCACATAAGGTTGGTCCTGACATTTGGCAAGTGTCTAGTAAGGAAAATCAGTACTGTGTCAACCTAGCTACTAACTCATGTGACTGCAGGAGGTGGGACATGACAGGTGTGACATGCAGTCATGCAATAGCAGCAATGAGCAAGATTCACATGCACCCAGAGGACTATGTGCATGAATTTTTCAAAAAACCACTATATATTGAAGCATACAAAGACATAGTGTACCCTGTCCCTGGTCCTGGATTCTGGCCTGACACCCATACTCAAGATATTGAGCCACCAGTGTTCAAAGAAAAAGCAGGGAAGAAACAAACAGCTAGGAGAAAGGGCCAGTTTGAGGTGCCTGCACCAAAAGACACAAGCAGGATGGGAACAATTACATGCAGCAATTGTGGTCTACAGGGCCATAGATTTACTTACTGTGGGAAAGCTCTAAACCCAAGTCTTCAGATGAGAAAGAACTTACACCAGGTCATTTAAAAATGTTGCATTCTTTGTTTAGTTAATAGTTGTTTAATTATGTACTAACTATCTTAATTCTGTCATGCAGGAGAATAGAGAAATTTTTAGGGGTTTCTCTAGTGCTAGTCACCCACCTCCAGAACCACCACATCAACACCAAACTTCACAGAGGCTAGCCTCATCTACTCCACCTCCTAAAGCAGTGAGGAACAGAAAAACAGCAACAGATAAGAGAGCTTCAACATCAACTGTTTCTGCAGGAG